TTTTCTCCACTGCCATCTCTGTAGCAAGGCACCAGAAACCATCCCAAGTTCCACGCTGCCGCCCGCATGCACCTGCCAACTCATCGATTCAAAACGAAGCTTTCGTGCCTTGAGTGGCTTTGGAAGGTGAAGGTGCCGGGTCTTTCAGCAGGTACGGACTGCCGCTTCGAGTTGCAGGTTTGATTCTACCATGTCTGGGCTGAAATGTACAGTGGTGCTTGGGGCATGAATACTGGAAGTTAGAACAGCATCCATGTAGTGCTGAAGATCTGTGACTAGACTGTAAGCATGACACGTGATATTTAAACAGCTGCCGCAATCCAAGATGCGCAGCCATACACTGCTGAGCTTGTTAGGTGTGTCTCGTGCCCGACTTTCTGTTCCAAGCAAACTCACAGAATTGTTTCAAAGCACCTTTGGAATTTGCCCAGCCAATTTAAAAGTGCAGAGAAGCGGCATGCAGTAGCTCGAAGCTTGTGATACACCAACTTGTCTTCGCGGACCGCACCCGCCTCCAGCCATACCCGGCTACTCGCACCACGAGAAACGCTTAAAGCGCTAGCCATTCGCCTGCCATGGCTGTGCGGATTGAGGCCGAGTGCTCTTTCACACAGGACGGTGACAAGGCACCCTGAGATGAGGAGGTGGTGCCATTGTTTTCGGCTGATTCAAGAATTTCAGGCCACCATGCCAGAGCAACACAAGAGTTTCAGTTACGACAGAAGTAACACCTTAAGACCCCATGCCGCAGCCGCAATGGGAGCAGAAACAGCAGCAAGCGAGTTTCTCAAACTTTCCTTGCCAACTCCTCAAGAGGCAATACTTCCTTTACCATCCCCAAAAGGGTAGATAACTGGGGGAAGGGGGATGGGCACCAAAAAAATGGACCCCGTATACCATAATCCTTGGTATAGGGACCCCTGAAAACTTACCCTCAACTTGGCGAAACCACATAACTGCATTATGGGAACTTGGGTAGAACTTTCTTCAAGAAGGCAGTACGGGGATGCGTGGGATGTGCCGGAATACATCACAATATGTGGGAGAGGTTCTCAAATCGGTGGGCCATTGAAAACCCTAGTTAAGCCCAACTCTCAGTAGAGTTATGCCTGTAGTGTTTTGCGGGGTGTGGGGGGAGGGGGGGGGTCGAATGAAAAGGTCGTGAGCCTCTCTCTAATGAAGTAACCCAATTGTCCAAAGGGTTTCAGGTTCAGAGGGGGCTTGTTAGTTCTATTTTTCTTTAGAGTCCGCTCGGCCCGATTGAGTTCAATCGGCCCGATTGAGTTCACTCGGGGGCATGGATTGAAGATAGGTAGAAGATTACCCGAATTTTTTCAAGAACCTTCAATCCTCAATCTTTAATCTTTAAACCAACCCTCGATTGAGTTCAATCGGCCCGATTGAATTCAATCGGGCGGGATTGAAGAATGAAGATTGAAGATTCCCAGGAAAACTTTTCAAAATTTTCAATCTTCAATCTTCCCTCCGGCCCCTGATGAGGTTGACGACGCTAATCGGAGGCTTTGTGTGAAAGTTAAAGATTGAAGATTCTTGAACAGCTTTTCCTGGAAATCTTCCATCTTCAATCCGCCCCGATTGAGCTACGCAGCTTAAGCCCTTGAAAGGGATATGATTGTTATTCTGAACCTCTACGCACACCCGGTTTCCCTTTCATTCTCCATTGTTCCTGAATTCTTCTTTCGGCCCTTGAAATTAGATTAGGCCCGTGGTAAGGGAAATCTATAGGGAACTCCGTGTAATTTTCATCACCCCTTGTGGTCACTATTTGTGGATTGGGCCCAACCTAATCTAGAATCCTGATCTATCCGTAAAATCTTAACCCAACCCTACGCCAACCCAAACCCTGCGCCGTAGCCTACAATCCTACATATCCCTTGTATACCCAAACTATTTGACCCTGAACCCCCCTAAACCAAAACCACACCTAAACCTCCCCAAACCTCGCAAAAACCCCCCAAACCCCCCAAACTTCACAAACCCGCAAACCCCCTAAAACCCCATAAACACTAAACCTCCCTGAAGCCGGCCGCACCCCCCTAAACTTCCCTAAGCCTCACTACATCCCCTGAAACCCCCTTAAACCCCCCTGAACCATAAACCTCCCTAAACCCTAAACCCCTAAACCCTAAACCCTAACCCCCCTAAACCCTAAACCTCCCTAAACCTTAAACGAAGCCAGGTATGCCTCATAGGCTCGAAGCCGGAGCTTGGGGATTGGGACGCCAGCAGCTGGGTTGCTGTGTGTAGCAGAGCTTCAAGGGTTTAGGGTTGTGGCTTAAGTTTAGGGTTAGGGTTAAGTTTAGGGTTCAGGGTTTAGGGTCAAAGTTAGGGGTTTAGGTTTTAAGGTTTCGGGTTGAGTTTAGGGTTTTGGGTCAGGGTTTTGGGTTTTATGATGCAGTGTAGGGGTTCGGGGTTGTGTAATAAGCCCGCGACGGAGGATAATGTCCTGGCGTGCTGTGATTTGCAAAATGTAGGGCTTCAGTTGTAAAAACCCAGACACCCAACATGATCCAAAAAATGGAACCCCCTAATGATCCCCTAGTTTCCCCGATGTAGTAATGGGTTCATATTGGGCGGGGTTCCATGTTTTGGATCCTTTAAGGAGTCTGGAAAACGGTAAGAGGAAAAGAGAGTGTGAACAAAAGCGATAAAGCCCCAGAGTTGCAAAAGCGATAAGAGGAAACGGATTCGGGTTTAGGGGTTTAGGGTTTAGGGTTTTTTGCGAAGCAAAGAAGAGCGGATGGCCTGGATACGTGGAATAATGCAAAGGAGCATCAAGTCAAACGGAACGAACATGGAACATGGAAACTCTGTGTATACAGGTGTTGGTGTTCAGGAACTTAAGTTGCCAAAATAGGGCGGTCACAATGTTAGCATATTTTTCCATATCGGTGTACATGACGTAAATCTCCGCAACAACTTGTATAACACCTATATCTATCTATCTATCTATCTATATCTCACCTATATCAATCCAGCTTCCACTGCGTTCCGCGGGATCGTAACTTATGCCGGAACTCTACACAACCCTCACAGAATCCCTATAGCCCCTGTCAAGGGATCCTATATACAACCTCTGTAGAATCGCCATTACCGCTGTCAAGGGCTTCCCTGTAACCCCTTTTTGAGGGACTCTTTAAAACAAACCCCTTCCGAACATCTATAACAGGAGTAGGTTTGAAAACAATTGCTAGTCTGTACTACCCTTGTAGTCCTTATGCAATCCCTATTAGCCGTCAACAGTTCAACTTTCCGAGGGCGCCCAAACCCACCTCAGATAACCCTAAATCCTTAAACCCCTTCACCCTGAACCCCTTGACCCTAAACCCCGCAACCCTAAACCCAGAACCCTAAACCGCAAAACCCGAAACCCCGAAACCCTAAACCCTAAACCGTGATAACCCCTTCAAAGGAACCTAGGCTTCTTAATATCAATCCAGGCAAGGCGTTGGAGTTGAAGACTGCACCGAAGTTGTGGCCCAGGTGGAGAATCAAACCAAGCGGGAGGGTGAGGGTTTAGGGTTTAGGATGACGGGTATAGTGTTGGGGGGTTTTGGCGTTTACGGGTTTAGGATCTAGGGTTTGGGGGTTTAGGTTTGGATTTTAGTATTTGGGGTTTACGCTTCAGGTTTGGAGCTTCCCGCCCCAGTATTCGCATTGCAAAACCCCTGCAACTTTTTGTTGCCGCTTCATTTTCCTCTTGCTGCTCCTACTCCTACTGCAACGAATCCTGTTCAGCATTTAGTGGTCTAGGATTTAGGGCTTTACGGTTTAGAGCGGGTTCCCTGGCCACCTGGTTTTGCATTGCGGCTTGAAATATCCCTGGATGTGGACTTAATAGGGCCTTAATATACCTACAATAGTCGCCTGTGGTACCCCTTACTGGATGGGGGTCTGACCCAACCTACCTCTTAATTAATCGAATGCAGACGAAAATTAGCCGCTCCACCAGAAGAAGTGTGTTCACTCACATATAGTCCCCCTTAAGTAGTTAGAATATGGCTTTGGGTATATTAGAATAAGATTAGAATAAGATCCCCATATACCCCATATTGAATTTACTTAAGAGGGACTATAACCCTAAACGCTAATCCCTGTATTCTATCTACTTAAGGGGGGTTATAACCCAATCTCCAAACAGCAGCATTCCCGGCATCGCTAGACCAAAAGTGTTGTCGCGCAAAGTTCTGAAGATTCTCAAAACTTTAAATCCCAAACCCTAAATCCTAAGATCCTAAACCCTAAACTCTAAATAATCCCCAACCCTAAATCCTAAACCCTAAAGTTTCAGCCTTATCGGCATCCTTCTCAGATGGACAGCTGAACTGTCCCCGGAGATCATCGGAGCAGAGTTCAAGCTGATCATCCGCAGATCCCTGTCTGCAACGGAGGTTAGGGTTTAGGGTTTAGGGCCCCTATCCCTTGGGTACGTCCCCATTCTGTAAAAAGTTGGATAATATACACGTAATTTACAGTAGAGTTATATGTAGCCCTCAATATAACCCCTGTTATAGACTGTTACAGGGTGGGGGCAGTGCCCGATCTATCCCTCTCCGCCATAACAACCCTTCCAGCATCATGGCTGTAAGGGGTTAAGGAAGCCGTGAACCCTCTAGTCCTCTCATACAATCATGTAAAAAGTATGGCAAGTACATGCTACATAATAGTCATGGGGATTATATGGTACAATAATAGTACTAATATGGAGATTACATGGGGGATAGAAAGGCATAATGGAAAAGAAATGGAAACCGCCATAGTATGATAGGGCATTGTTTGGGGGGGGACAGTCTAATGGGGGGACCGGTGACTACAGCAAGTCTCTTGCAGGATCCTGCCTAAAGATTTCTGCGCTCTTTTCCCGAGTCCCTCCACTGAAAGTGCAGGTAATTTATGGTTTGGGACGGCATGTGGGGAAGCCCTGTCTTGTAGCCTGCCGCAGTCTTGTTTTGACCAGCGTGGCAGTATTGCCTTCGCAGGACGGGATGGTTCGGTAGAGTGGGAGGAGCTACCCGCGAACCGACCCTGGCCGTGCGATGCTTCCGAAGGCTCCAAGCTGTGTTTCAAGTTCGGTGACCCCGAAGTAGTGGTCGCCAAAGATCCCGCTGGAGCTGCTGGAGGGTATTCGCGTGTAACATTCAACCTCAGTGAGGGCGATGACGGCAAGACGCTGTCAGTGCCGAAGGGCCACAAGGCCAAAACGCACCTGGATATTCGGCAGCGATTGGTCTGCGACTCGGGGAAATTCCGAAAGAACATCGAGGAGCGCTTCGAGGTGGACTCCGCTGTACTTGGGGAGGGCGGCTTTGGCCGTGTCTTCAGAGCCCGGGACAAGGAAACCGGGGCCCAGCGTGCGGTGAAAACCATACTGAAATCACGCGTGACGCACATGGACGAAGTGAAGAAGGAGCTTCAGCTGACTCAGCGGATGGACCATCCCAACATCGTGAGGCTCTACGCGGTCTACGAAGACCATGCCAGCCTATACTTGGTCATGGAGCTCTGTGACGGAGGAGAGCTGTTTGACCGCCTTGTTGAGGAGAAGTTTTTGACAGAGCCGGTGGCCAGGAAGGTCATGAAGCAACCAGGCTGCATTAACCTTGAAGCCAGTCGTGGTAGGATTCTACAAAGCAAGAGGAGGTTTCCCCAAAGAATTTCCCCTAAACCCCCCAAACGCCCAAACCCTACCCCCCTAAAACCCTAAACCCTAAACCTAGACCCTAAACCCTTTCCCCAGAACAGCCGCTATGCCCAAGCCTTAAACGCCTCAGGCAGATCTTCTCTTCCATCGCCTACTGTCATGCCCGGGATGTCGTCCACAGAGTTGCCTGGCTTCTCTGGGCTGCTGTTTAGGGTTTAGGGTTTAGGGGTTAGGGCTGTTAAGGAACTTGGGGGTTTCTCAACAGTGGGGGGGTACCATTTTGGGGGTCCCTCTAATACAAGGGGGTATAGATCTATATTGGGGTCCCCTCATTTTGGGGAACTACCACTTAAGTTACGTCACCATTACATGGGTATATAGTTTGAATAAGAGGGTTTACTCATAGTAGTAATTTAACTTATGGGTATACAGTATAAATACTAGGGTTTTCTTACAATAGTAATTTCATTCAAGGGGAATAAAAGGGTTCCTTTATAGTAGTAATTTTGCTTAAGTTCCTTAACAGCAACCTAGTTTTTGGGGCAGGGGGAGGTTTCCATCGGAAAAAGGTTCGCAACCTGCTTCATACTGTGACTGTAGGGGCCCATGCCACGTCGAAGCGGGATGCGTGGGAGATCATGCTGCAGCTTTTTAACATTATCATATTAATATTCCTATGTACTATTCTTATTGTTCTTGCAGTTGTTACGATTCCTACTACTGCCTAACCAGCGCTGTGAGAGATTGGGGCCACTTCGCGCTGAGTTCGCGATGCTTTCTATGTCCCAAACAGAGCGCCAGTTGAACAGCTCAGAACCTATCCTACTGGAATTTCCTTTTCGGGTTGTTTGCCTTCATTGTTCGAGCGTTTAGTGGGTACGGCTGGTGTAAGCTGTAGGTCGATTTGCCTTGGGGGATGCTTGCGCCCAGGATCTTAAGCCTGAGAACTTCGTCCTCATGTCGAAATTCCGGGCTCCTGACCAGACCCCGCTGAAGCTAATCGATTTTGGTTTGGCCACATACTGCAGAAGAGATCAAACCCATAGCGACGCTGTCGGCACCCCTTACTATGTTGCACCCGAGATCCTTGGGAATGCGTATGGAAGGGAGGTGGACGTTTGGAGCTGCGGGGTGATCATGTACGCGTTGCACTCTGGTCGCCTACCCTTCACCGGCAGCACGGATATTGACATTCTGAGGAGCGTCAAGAGAGGACAGTACAGCTTGGATGGACCTGTCTGGGCCCAGGTGGGTAGCACGTGATTTCGTTTATGTGGGTGGTAGTCAAAATTATGGTCCCTTTTTGGGTACCCTAAATATTAGGTGCCGTATTATAATAGGGATCCAAAAAGGGACCATAATTTTGACAACCGCCCATGTGTACTAGTACTTGTACTTTTGCCACAGTCCGTTCGTATGTTATCCTACTATCAGAGTACAGTGAATCAAAAGTCACCCTGAAGCCCTGAGCCCCTTCAAACCTACTGGTTCCTAGTAGGGAATATGGGAATAGAATCCCTACATAAACCGTAGTTTATTTAGTCCCTTATTCCCTACTCAACCCTAAGCCTTGTAATATATTCCCTTACTCCCTATTAACAACCAGTAGGTGAACCTAATTGCCTCCCAAAGTTCGAATTATGCCCTAAACCCTAAACCCTAACCCCTAAACCCTAACCCCTAAACCCTAAACCCCTAAACCCCTAAACCCTAAACCCTCAACCCTAAAAACCTTGTGGTTACCAGGAAATCCAGCCTCAGGTGTCAGACTTGGCTAAGGACCTCATAGGGCAGTGCCTCCAGGTGGGCATTTGGGGTTTCCCAAACTTAGGGGCCACCATATTGCGGGGGCGGTTTAGGGTTTAGGGTTTAGGGTCCCTGAAGAGGGGGATTATGGGTCTATATTGGGGTATCCTAACTTGGGGAAACTACCATTTCTCAAAATGCGCATCCGCAAGTCATATGACACCAAAAGCGGGTCGTAATATACAGTCCACAGACTTCCGATCACTTCGTGTTGAGCACTTATACGCTCAGAATTCCCCTGCTAACAATATGCGGTTAAGATACGGCATGCCTTGATATCAAGATCGACTTTTTCAGCCCTATCAACCTTGGAGGTGGATCCTAGCCAGAGGATTTCGGCGCTGGATGCCATGGCACACAGCTGGTTCAAGTCGCCGTCATCCGACTTTTGCCTGTTTGGATTTAAGAGTCAGGCTTTTAGGTTCAGAGGGTTTAGAGCGCCGTCAGGGCTTAAAACCCAGGATCTGAGGTTCAGAGTTTAGGGTTCATGCTTTACATAGGTTTTACGACATAGGTTTTACGATAAATTGGCATACCCCAATGGATCAAAGAAGTTTCTCCCCCGGTTTTACAAGGCCTCATGATTCTTTTTCAGCAACCACCCAAATGCATCACAACTCTATTCTGTGAGCTGTGTAGCCTTCTAGTCCTTGTTGAAAGATGGGATATGGGGCATGCAGAATATATATGTATATGTATATATCTATGGCAATTTCATTATTTCCTGGTGCTACGGATGACTACCACATAGCCTTGAAGCCCAAAGCCCTGAAGCAGGGCCTTTTAAAAAGCTTAGGATTGCACCGTCTGCCACCCTGAGAACCCTTAACCCTAAACCTCAAACAGCTTAGGACTGCTCCGTTTTCCATGCAGAGGTCCTGCAAAATTTACAGGCTTTCAGTGTGGCGAGCCGTTTCAAGAAGGCCGCGCTCATAGCCGTGGCGTACCATCTGACTGTGGATGAGCGCCAGGAGCTCCGGGAGACCTTCATGAGGCTGGCTTTAGGGTTTGGGGTTTGAGGTTTTAGGGTTTAGGATTGCGGGTTTAGAAAGGCTTAGGATTTCGGACTGAGGATTTAGGATTTGGGGTTTAGGGTTTAGGATTTGGGGTTTAGGATTTAGGATTTAGGATCGGGGGTTTAGGGTTTAGTTTTGGGGGTTTAGGGTTTAGGCTTTAGGGTTTAGGGTGACCTTCATGAGGCTGGACCAGAACGGCGATGGATTCCTGCGCCTAAGCTTGGTTCTTGTTCTGGATACAGGGCTACATGGTTACGTACATAGGGGATTATGTAGGATTGCAATTTCCCAGTAATGGACAATGAAATGGAAAAGAACGTGGACAATGAAATGGAAACTGCTTTATATAGGGTTATTTAGGGATTATACGAGCTATAGTCTGAAGGTCTTAAGGCGGGTTATATAGGGGATTATATAGGGTTTAGGGTTTAGGGTCCAAACTCCTGAAAGGGGGTTGTATACGGGATTACTTAGGGTTTGGGGTTTAGGGTCTAAACTCCTTAAAGGGGCGTTATTCAGTGGATTATATAGGGGAGTATTATATGGGTTATTAAGACTGTAGCTCACATGGTTGCATAGGGATAATGGAAGAAGAAACTGGATTTTACTATAGGTGCTATAGGGACATATAGGAATAGAAAGGGTTCTATAGGGATTGCATAGGGCTAAGATTGGGTTGAGTAGGGATCTTATAGGGATAATGGACAAGAAGCGTAGGGTATGTTTTGGGAACATGTATATATATATATATACAGGGTCTATGGGGATATTACCCCAAGAATGGAGGATTAAATTCAAAACAATATGCAAAATGAAATTCAAACTGGGCCTGCATAGTGATTGATAGGATTAGGGTTCGGGGGTGGATCTTTGGGACATGCTTTTGGGAAGTTAAGGGTTTAGGGGTAGAACGGAAATCTATGGGAAAGTCTTTCCATAATTGCCCTTCGTTGCAACAGGAAATCTTCTAAATACAATAGCATTTTCTATGCGCAGGTTCTTTTGAACAGGAAGACTTTTAGAGCAATTGCAGGTTATACCCTGGGGGGCAGGAGGACTTTGAATTAAAGCCGTGCGACGAACAAAAAAGAGATATGTGAAGGCTGACCTCCCGGCCCAAAGGCTAACGAAACTCTCTGCTCTCTCTTGATTAATTTGCGGGGCTTGAACTGGACAAAAACACAGCTCACAAGAGCACGTGGCCGAGTCTTAAAGACACCAGCTTTCACATACATCCAAACAGCAGGATCCCTGTTTATGAATCCACCCTACGCGTATCATAACATTCTTGTGCCAACCCGTATCAAAGCAAATTGCTACACAATCCTGTCATGAACTACTGTCAATACTCCTGTGGCCACGTGAATACTAGGGGTGGACATCGGTTTCCTTTGAGAGTTCAATCTAATCCGAGCACGTGATTTATAAAAGGGGCCATATTTAAAGATTTGCTCTGGCAGGATTAGCCTCCAAAGACTAGCTACAATTAGGTGGCTATTCGTCTGGGGAAGAGGGACCACACTTCAAGAATTTTTGTTGGGAAACCCATCCTGATAGTAGTGTGAGCAAGCAGTTTCAAATTACGTTTACAGCAAAAGCATTGCCAGCTGCTGTCTAGTCTTCAGTTTTCTAGGTTTAGGGTCTAGTGCTAGATTGCGTCTTAATGAAAATTTAAGACGTCTCCCCAACAAGCCCCATGTCCATTGGCTGCGAGAGTCCTAAGTAATAGAGGGGGTTCCATACATTGGGGGCCCCAATATAGACCCCAGAAAAGTATGATCCTTATTGCCTTGTTGCGGGAACCCCCGAGAAGGGACTCCAAACTTATGGAAACTCCCGTGTTGTTTGTTCTCTAGATCATACAACAAGACACCCCGCAAAGTTGCGCTTCGTTCCGCACTGTACTTACTGGTGCTTAAGATGGAGTGGATGTGCTACTACAGGGGACTATGTAGAGATGATTATTGTGATTCAATTCCCCACTTTCCCTGAAGCACCGGTAAGTGCAAAGGAGCCTGCAAGAGATCCGGGAGGGCTTGAAGACGCATTTGGAGACTTGCTTGCAAGGCTGATTTGGGGGGTTTCCCAAAATGAGGGGTTCTTTGCGATCAGTACAATAAGGATTATAGCGCTCAGTGGTCTATACTGGGGTCCTCCTGTTTAGGGATACTACCATTTGTTTGTTCTACCCCTGGCAGCCCTGGGGATGTGTAGGGTCCTGCCATTGGGTTACAAGGGGGTTCGGGGTGCCTTTAGAAACGATTTGTAAAGATCATCTTGAGGACCTCCCTTAGGCGGCACAAGTAGCATGAACAGGTTTTCGCTTACGCAAAAGGACAGGGAATTTGATGGGCGGGGCTCCTTCTTCGGGTCCTTGACATGAGGACTGGGAGGGCTGGGTGGGTCTATGCATGACTGGCCCCTTGGGTGCTGCTGTCCACGCAAAAAAACCCTTGAATTTGATGCGCTTTGCCAAAAAAACTCAGTAGACTGAAGCATTTTTACTTGTTGTTACTTCTTCGTGCAGTGATCAGGAAACATAAGCCATAGCTTTAGGGCTAAGGGTCAAGTTCTCAGTTTGTCGCATCATGTGCGGATGTGGTCAGGAGGCGTCGAGTTTCTGAGATACATGCATGCAGTTAGATACATCGATATAGTCCCCCTTAAGTAGATAGAATATGGGGTATATATGGATTTTAAGATAATATACCCAAAGCCATATTCTATCTGCTTAAGGGTGACTATAATCCTAAACCCTAAGCCCCAAACCCTGAACCCCATATTCTATCTACTTAAAGGGGACTATAGATAGACAGATGCATAGATGTAAGCGGACTAGGCCACCCGCAGCTCAGACGAATGTCTTCACATGAGCTTTTGTCTAAACTCCTTAAAGTGGGCTATATTGGGGAATATATAGGGGACCACCATGGGTTATCAAGGGGAACCTAGGAGTTTAGACAATGGCTCACGTGTAGATTCAGCAGCTGCGCAGCAGAGGAGAAGTCTGGTGCAAACGTTTCTGAACTGTTCAAAGGGCTTGCCAATCCTGAGGGCGAGTTCCTTGGCAAGCAAGCCCGGACGGATGCCAGAATGGTGGCTTTAGGGACCCTTAGTGGGAAGCTTTTGGGGTAATATGGGGGGCTTGATACTTATAGGGGTATCTAAGTACGATCAAAGGCGTAATTTGATTAGGAGTCCCTTCTAGAGTCCCTCTTGATCACGATCCCTGGTCTAACGGGTCTACTGGTGGCGGTGTTGATTCTGCCGCGCACGGTTGCATGCTGTTCAATTGCGAGTCTAGTCAGTGCTTCTGTGGTGTTCGTAGACACCCATGTGGCTTGGCTATGTCTTTTCTTGCATGTCCCTTCATGTCATGCCCTGAAGCGATTTCCTGCTAGCTGCCAGACACCTTATGTGTATGACTTCCACACGCCCTGGCAGCACAAGTGTTTTGTCCTTTTCCTGTGACAAGCACCCATGTAAAAAAACCTCACCAACCCATCCTCAAACAGCGGTAGGAGGCCTACTTGCCGGGCTTCGGGTAGTTTAAAGCACTTTGATGGTGCAGTACTTGTGTGGTTGCTACTAAAGCCTGGTACCACAGATACAGTTATGCTAGGGCTTCCTGAAATCTTGCTCTTCCAGGTTCTAGCCTTATTGATTATTCTACGCTTAGAGCCCTACATGTAGACCAGGCTGGAATACACGCAGTTCGTTGCTGCAGCAATGGATCAGCACCTCCAACGGGATGAAGAGCTGTGCCGGCCTCGTGTGATCTTGCGCCCGATTATGGTATAACATGTTCGTCTAGATGGGTTGTTGTCAAAATGATGGTCCCTTTTTGGATCCCTATTATAATACGGCACCTACTATGGGGGTACCCAAAAAGGGATCATAATTTTGACAACCAACCATACTGTGTATGTATCCACGTTGGTAGTTGCTGGAGGGCTTCGTCAAAAGAGCGATTTTATGAACTGTACGTCCTAGATTACTTCTAGTTCCAGAACAACCCTCCGGCCATGTCCAGCCCAAGCTCATGGTAAACGGTAAAACTCGGGGTAACATGGGTTGAAGTCAGCCCTAAGCACCCGTCCTCAGGATGTAGGGCTGTAGGGCTCCAAGTCGGGGTTCTGAGTTCAGGGCTTGGGGCTTATAGGTTTAGGGTTTAGGGGTTTAAGCTGTTGGAATCACCGACTTGCCATCATAAGGAATTTACATTCAAGGAAATGTTTTGCCACAGGTCCACCCCCGCAAAACATTACTCTGCCGACCTTATCTAAGTCATCTTCTTGTGTCTACTAAAAAGGGAAGACGTAAGGGAAGACAAAGTCCGTAATGAGTATAATCCCAAAGCAAAAGCAACATGAGGCACCCAATTTAGACGCTGTTTATTGCTTGTAATCTCGACATATTCCTGGGGTCCCCACTGTCACCTGGTTTGAGAAGCCCTAAACGCTAGGGACCTATCTTGCCCTAGATATCCTTGTATCCCTAGATATCTCCCCTAAACCCTAAACCCTAGATATCCTTGTATCCCTAGATATGTCCACGTAATTCATGCAGGCTGAAGACCCTAAAACCTAAACCTTAAACCTTCGATACTGCCCCCACTCAGTAACAGTTGGATAATAGTTATAATGCAGTTATACAGCCCTTAATAGGACCCCTAATATAGACTGTTACTGGGGGGGGGGGGCAGTACCCAACCTAAACCTTAAACCGCTGCTGAATTATTCAGGTGCTGGCGCTCCTTCAAGGCCTTTGACAGGGATGGCAGTGGCTCAATCACTGTGGATGAGCTCAAGAAGGCACTAACACCATAAAGGGAGTTTTATAGGGGACTTAGGGTTTAGGGTTTAGGGTTTAGGGACTATATGATATAGGCAGAGGGTTATATAGGGATATACAGGGTTAGGTTAGGGTTGTATTGTGATAATGGAAAATCAAATGGAAACTACCGTAGTTTTTAGGGTTTACAAGTATGGGAGGCACTAACAGGGCCTGGTAGAGGGTAGGGATTGACCCAGAATAGTTTATTGGGTGCCTCTGAATAGTGTCCAAGGAACGCGATTACCAATCATTCAGCCTGCTGATTTTTTTGTTTCGGTTGTAAAGGGCTGGCGATGCTACTTTTGCAAGTTGGTGATTCAACTGCATGGTACGGAAAGTGTCCTGGCGACGGCTCCGTAAGGGCTGTCGACGGCACTAGTGTTACTACCTACACGTTTCCTGTGTTCCCAGTCAAAAGGAAGAAGTGTCAGGCAGGAAGTTAAGTTGATTTGGAATTTCAATCCGGCGGATCCAGTCCTTTGGTAGGAATGTTCATGTGGATGGGGCTGCCACATGAAGATCTATGATCATCTTGCTCCAGTGAAGGAGTGGGTCGCTGTATCACTCCATCCGGCACAATATATCATAATCCTTGCCAACAGGAAGGTAACTCATGATCAACGGGTCCGGTGCCTAGCAAATTTTCTGACAGACAAGAAGGCCACAAATAAGAATTCAGCAGTGCACGAAGCATCTCGCACCCGAATGTGTTGTAATTTCTGCCTGTCCTGACTAACACTCGGTATGAAATGGTACGAAAACAGTATGTCAAATTTCCATTTTGTGCGGGACAGTCGTACCCTGTGCAGGCAGTTCCGTCCTGTGTAGCCGAGGATGCTGGCAAATGTTGGCAACGAACAAGCTTGCCTTTCATACGTAGGGCATGTGATTGCTGTTTGTCATTTCTTATCTCATCACGGCGGCGGCTCCTGTTGGTGCCGTCGTTATCGCAGTCGCGATTGCCGTGTCGTTGTCGTGGTTGTTGGCGTGCTTGTTGTCATGACTGTCCTGATCGTTGATATTGCTGGTCCGCGCCCTTCTGTGTGAATAGGTTGCTTTGCCACAGATGCTGCTGCTCATCACGTGCCGGTATGGGACATGTGGCACTTTGGTTGTTCTTACAAATACTTGGTCGTGATTACGTGGTTGCTGTTGTGTTATCCTGCACAAGCACCTGCTCTAACAGCTGTGCGTGTACCAAACACTCGCAGGTGCTGGAGGTCGACGAGCTCAGAAATGCAATCGAAGGCCCGAGCATCAACAAGATCTTCGAGTCCGTCGACAAAGACGGTCGCTGGGACCCGGAAGTTTACATTGAGGTATCATCCGCACTTCGGGTTGTAGCAGTAGTCAGAAGTATCATTATGAGCTTGAAGCATCAGCATTCGTAGTTCGTAGTGACGGCAGCAGTAGGTAGCAGCATTAGTAGTTGTATATCAGTGGTAGCAGCAGTAGTAGAGGAAGCAGCAGGAGCAGTCAACACTTGCCTGTCAGCAAGGCCTATTCAATTCAAAGAAAAGCCTCCTGCCTACCTTGCTGCTAAATCTTGAGTTTCACGACTTGAAACATGCATTTGCAACTGTGAAAGTTCCTCACAACCCGCTATGATTCATGTGTAGCGAGCGGGGCCATCTTTAACAAGCAGGACCTCACACAAGCCGGCAACCGCTCTGATCATGCCACACGCGTTCGGTTCATCTCTGGGGGTGTTTTGGGGATAAGTTCGGAGGACTCCCTACCCTGCAATATAATCCTCATTAGGAATATCATGGGACCCTATAATATAATCCTTCTTATTCCTTATGGTCACAACTACTGGGTGGGGGATCCACCTAAGGGATACGATTATCAGCTCCGACCTTCATCCTGTTGCATGGTAGCCCCAAGTGGCATCAGGGCAGATGCGAAAACTCAAGTAAGTTCTGAGGTATAAGGTTATAGGGGTTATATAGGGGTTCTGTTGGGGTTATATTGGGATACTGGAAAATGGAATCTACTATTTAGGGTTTAGGAATTAGGGCTCTCTCCTGCAAACCCTGAAGAAAGCCAAACTACGAATCTCCGGGCGCACGCTGGCATGCTGAAACATCTCGCATGCCTAATCGCATGACTTATGAAACCCTAAACCATAAATTGCAGTTTCCATTTTATTTTCCATTATCCCAATATAACCCCAATATAACAGCTATATAAACCCCTATTTAACCCCATAAACTTATACCCTAGACCCTACTTATGCGAAGGAACAGATCTACGTCTGAAATGGCAAGCCCCAAGGTTGCTACATAGTCCCCTTTAAGTAGATAGAATATTAGGGTTATATTGGGGTTATATAGGGATTATAGAAAAGAAAATTGAAACTAGTACTTAGGGTTCAGGGTTTAGGTTTAGGGTTATAGTCCCCCTGAAGTAGAGGGAATATGGCTTTGGGTATGTTATGATAAGATCCCCATATACCCCAAATTCTATCTACTTAAGGGGGACTATAAATCCTACAGGTATCTGGGGTAAAGCTGGAGTGGTTTGCGTCTTCCGATGCCGGCTGTAGCTGGAATTGTTTCATTCTCGGATGGGGGGTTGATGACAAAGTTGGCACTGCACGGGCATTCATCAACTCGGCGGCCATTGGTGTTAACTTGCCGTGGCATCCCATCCAACCCTAAACCCTAAAACCTGAGGTAATGGAAAGGTTTCCTTTAGTGAGTTCATGGACATGCTCCACTCCACGCCGATCCTGGAACCACAGTCGCCCACATACTCCTCGGTCTACGGCAATGCGGTTCCCACCCAGCCGCTGAGCGCTCTCATCTCTGCAATGTAGTTGTAGCTGTTTATGCTGCATACTTTTGCCTTCACAGTGAACAGTTGCTCTCTTTGCCGCATGATACGGATACTATGCTATATCTTGCTGGGATGAGCATCAACCTGTGAAATGCGTTGAAGTAGCTGCGTCCCGCTAGCTGTGGCACAGCAACAAGACGTTGCGTGGTATAGTTGCAGGGGCCTGGGTGTGCCAGGCACGGGATGCAGAATCAGACCCCCAAAGGGATCCAAAAATTAGATATCCTGGAACCATATGGGAAATTATATCAGGATAATATAGGGGTTATAATGGGTCTATATAGGGGATCTAATTTTTAAGATCCTCCCAGGGGTCTGGGGAGTCTTCAGTCTTGGCTTCTGGATCGCAAGCATGTCCGTGGGAGCGTTCTGAGTTGCCCTAGACGAGGTCTGCAGCATCCATATGATAATTTCCCTAAATACGGGTACCCAATATAGACCCCAAGATGATATAATCCTTGTTATGGGGACCCCCAAAATGGTACCCCTCATTTTGGGATATTACGTCCTAGAAATCTACCCGAGATCAGACACCCGGTCTGGGAGCTCGTTGATCTGTGACCATTATTATCGTCTTTGCATATCCTTATCTTGTGGCATCACTCTGACCCCAGAACCCAAAACCCTCAACCCTAAATCCTATAATCCCTATCACGCCTAAACCCCATAAACCCTAGCTTCCATCTCCCATTTTCTTTTCCACATGCATGCGGCTCGTAGAGCTTGCTTGCACCGGGGTGACATGAGAGAAGCTAAGCAGTGAGCGCAACAAGTCTAAATTGGAGCTCGTTTGTAGCTGTCCGAGCACATCAGCAGCAGCATACTGCAGTCCCACAGTCCGATACACTTGAGAAATTTGGCAGTTTTCGAACTTGGGGAGTTCTGATGCCATGGCTGATCAGGCACCCTGCGTCCTAGAAGCGGTTTGTTCCAGGACAACCTGTGGAGACGAGCTACACCTCTGCGGCAGCCACGAGGCTCTCGGAGCCTGGGACGTCGCAAAAGCGTTAAAGCTGCACACAGATCCGGAGTCCTTTCCGCGCTGGACGCTGACCCTCCCTGCGTGTGTCGGTGAGTTCAAGCTTTTTATTAAACGCTGCTCGGAGAAAGCCCTCGCCTAGTTTTCGTCCTAGTCTGTTATAGGAGTTTTCTGAAAGGGGTCAGACGTGGTGCAAGCTGCTATATACCTAAGGACAGAAGGGTGACATCGAGTGGGAGGCATGTCAAAATCGGTCCTGGCCTTCGCCTCTGCCATCTGGGCGGATCCAATTACAGTTTGGAGATCCGCGCCTAGACGCGCAGGGCGTCTTCCAAGAGCCTGAAGACCGTTCTTCTTCGCCATGCTCGCCCCCGATGCTTCCACTGAAAAGGCAGCGCACCAAGGGCGACTGCGTCAGATCGCGCCTCATCCACGCAACATCGCTGGCGGACATTACGCAGAAGGCCTGCATATGGGACCGCTACGAGCTCGAGGAGGCCACCCTTGGGGAAGGTGCCTTCGGAACAGTGCGCAAGGCGAGGGACCGATCCATCGGCGCCATGCGGGCTATCAAGCGAATCGATAAGTCCAAGGCCTTCGCTTTGGATGACGTTCGCAAAGAAATTGAGATGCTGCGTGAGATGGATCATCCGAGCATTGTGCGGCTTTATGCTGCCTACGAGGATGACCAGAGCATTTACCTCGTCCTGGAGCTCTGCGAGGGCGGAGAGCTCTTCGACCGCTTGATAGAGGAAACCCATCTAACCGAGCCAGCTGTCCAGAGCATCATGCGCCAGGTCTTCGGCGCGGTGGCGCACTGCCATGACAAGAACATCATTCATCGGGACCTCAAGCCAGTACCTTTGCTGCGAAGTAGCTCTTCCTCATGCTTCTCAGGCAGTTGATGCAAGGAACGGTAAGATACGAACTAGAATTATGGGGTTGCTTTACAGGACGGCGCTTTTGCCTTTTGCCAGGAGAACTTTATCTTGCAGAAGCGTGATGCCCCTGTGGAAAAGAATCCATTGAAGTTGATCGACTTTGGCTTGGCTGAGTACTGCGAGCCGGGGGAGTACTTGCAAACAGCATTCGGAACAGTCCTTTATGTCGCCCCAGAAGTCACTGTAGTCTCTTTAGGAATTAATTTTCACTCTTTGCTGTAGTAGTACTCTAAGAATTGTTAACATAGCAATGTTATAGATCTGGGTGGATTACAGGTCATTGAGCAGAAGTATAACCATGCCTGTGACATTTGGAGCAGCGGTGTGATGATGTACTGTTTGCTGTGCGGGTCGCCGCCATTCCATGGCAGGGATGATGATCAGATCATCCGAAAAGTCCTGCGTGGCAAGTTTGTTATGAGGGGGAACCGCTGGACTCCAGTGTCCGAGGCTGCAAAAGATCTGATTTCCCAGTGCCTTCAAAGGGACATCGAGCGCAGGGTGACGGCTGCAGATGCGCTGAATCACCCCTGGTTTCAGGGATCTGCGAAATCTGCCGATGTGCAGCTGAAGCAGTCTCTTCACCCGGAGCCTTGGGTTTGAAAGAGGGCTTTCGATTCGTGATCTTGAAGGGAAACTGCCACTTCAAAGCTGCTAATTCCTTCGGTGCTTGCAGCAATATGAATAGCAATAACAATTCAGTAGTAGCAGTAGTAGCAGTAGTAGAAATAATAGTAATAATACTATTATTGGAAGACTGTAGAGTTCTCAGCGCCAGAGCTGCCCTCCACTCTTTAAAGGAGAATGCCATAGAATGCTATACCTCGAAGCCCTGCAGCATCGATATGAGCCCAAACCTGTGGTCCCGTTCTGCTGTACGGGATGCTCTGTGCAAATTCTCATGCCTCGGCTCTTGAATTCGGGGATTCCCGCAATTAGGGGTACCTTCAAAGAGGGATATATGGGATATAAAGGGATATCTAGGGATTTCATATTGTTGAGGGTTTCCCGAAATCAGAGGTACCTCATTGGGGGTCCCCATAAACAGGATTTTAGTATTTGGGGATCTATATGACAGTCCCGTCATTTAGGGAAACTACCAATTCTTTCTAGAGCATTCCAAAATCTCCTCGGCATGCCCCGCATGTTGCTCCTCTCCCACCCTAACCCGTAAAACCCTAAACCCTAAACCCTTAAACCTAAACCCTTAACCCTAAACCTTTAACTTAACCCTAAACCCTAAACCCCCTAAACTCCTGAGGACCTTTTGGCCAACCTGAAAGCCTTCAGCAGGGAGAGTCGTTTTAAGAAGGCAGCTCTCATGGCTCTCGCTTATCAACTGACGGATGAGGTCCGGGGGTTTGGGGTTAGACTACTTTGTCGGGGTTTCCCAAAATTAGGGGGTACCTTTTTGGGTGTCCCTATAGTAAGGATTATAGTATTTGGGGGTCTATATTGGGGTTCCCCTATTTTGGGAAACTACCATATAGTATATTGGGGTTGTATAGGGATAGTGGAGAAGAAAATAAAAACTACAAAGGGTTGTACAGGGAGGAAAATGGAATTGTATAGGGTTATAGAAAAGAGAATGGAAAGTGCTAAGGATTATAAAGGGATATACAGGGGTTATATGAGGATACTGGAAAAGAAGATAGAAACTATTGTAATGGGGTTATATAGGGATAATGGTAAAGGAAATGGATGTCTAGGGTTTAGGGTCTAGGGTCTACGCTAATGGAGGGCTCCATCTTCAGGTGTCTAGAAGCGGACCCTAGCTTTCAGACAAAGCTGCTAATTTGTCAAAATTCCGCAACAAGATCAGTGCATACAAGGGAGCACTACTAACACCCATCCCAACCGCACCGACCCGGCTCCCACCTCTTGGGCCCTTTGATGCCCTTGATGAGGAGCAGGATGAAATTCTACAGACTTTCCAGAGGCGGGAAGGGTTCATCTTACTGGCTTTGGCATCTTCAACCTGGTGCTTAGGAGGGAATGGATTATGGGGATTATTATTGGGGATTATATAGGGACTACTATAGGGATCCATTCCCCCATTCCCTGCTAAGCACCAGGGAATCTTCAACATATCTTGTAACGGCAAGCTCGAAAGAAGTATTCTCTGAATGGAAGCAGGATAGAGCAATGTCAGTCTGACGTTAGACTAAGCAGCTTCACGGGCAATTGTCACTTGATGATGACCTGGCGTGCCTTCACTTGTTCTTTTTGCAGATGGCAATAACTGTAGTAGAGTGGGGTCGAGGCCAAGGGTGTAGTAGTAGCAGGAGAAGGTGTATGGATTCAAGCGGGGCAAGTAGCAGAAACAAAGGATTCTCCGATGACAAGCGGCACTCCCCACCTGCCATGCAACGTATAAACTAAACCGGAACACAACCTTCCCAATCCAACATCCCTGTCGTACCTGGAATTCTTCAAAAGAAAGGAGCCCCCAAAAAGTATCTGAAACACCCATTTCGCATCCATCAAGGGCTGCTACTGCAGCCGGACGCGGGGCCTCCTTAGTGTTTGATTACGCTCACAGAGCTTAAACGCCAGGTTGGACGCGGACTGCGACGGATTTGTGACGCTTAGTGATTTGAGTAACTTGGCTACGCTCCGTCATCCGTTTTGATTTGCTATTGTGTTTGAGGAGCTTGTTTGTTAATGATTTTCAGAGGGCGGTCTAGCTTGAGTAATTAATCAACATATTAATGAGGTAGAAGATCTGGAGATACTGGTGATCAGGAGTAGCAGTAGGGGCCATATGGCTAGCAAACATATCTGCAATAGGAAGGATTCAGAATGGGAACCCACATAGGGACTCATACTGAACTAGTTACCCAAATACCAAACAAATAAGCAGGAACCCACAACCCTAAACCCACATGAACGATCCAAGGAAAGTGCTTTGAGACCAACATGGAAGCGAGTCCAATGGTGAACTTGGCCGAGGTCATGGATAGCCTGGATTACAACCAGGCTGGCCTCGATCTATGTGGGACATAATTCTATACTCCTTAAAGGGAGGTTATGTTAGGGATTATATTGCGATATATAGGGTCTAAACGGGGATTATATAGGGGACTGCTATAGGGGTTAGGAAGGGGGATGGTAGGAGTTTAGACTATGGCTCATTTGGGTATAAAGTGAGAGCTCTTTCATACGGAGTTTTCCCTACATTCATTCTTGAGTGGGGACATCATGAGAGTACAGGTCCAGGTCATTCTCCCCCTTCTTGGGGAACAGAGCCCCGCACATATTTATACATGTGTATACGCTATACATATACACATATATATATATACACATATTTGTAAGCGTGGGTTCCTAGTTTAGTATAAGTTCCTATATAGGTTCCTAGTCGGTTACGGGTCCCTACTTAGGCTTCCCCACCTCGCGCAACAGTAAATTTGGCAAAGGCTCTTGTAACTGCTACGCGAGTTAGGGTCTAGGGTTTAGGGTTTAGGGTTTAGGGTTTCCAGTTCTCACCCTAAGCCCTAAACCGTAGTTGGAGGATCGGGCCGAAGCCATAGTTGTACTTCTAACGCGGGTATAACTGTATCACCCAATTGGGAAATTTAGCTTGCTGTTGAGTTGAGTTATGAGTACAAATATGGTCTGGCCCGAAACCCTAAACCCCAAACCCTACTGAACCCTAAACCGCAAGCAAACCGAGATCGCCAGACCATTTGCTTCGAAGGACGGCCGCCTCGAGTATACGGAGTTCATCGCCGCTGCTATGGACCAGCGCCTTTCTCATACTAAAAGGGGAAATGGGGGGAGGTTTAGGGTTTAGGGTTGGGGAGTGAATGTAGGTATCTTGATTGGGGAAGAAACTATTATCCCGAAGCACTCCTTCTCAAAATTAAGGCGCCTTCACAAGAATGAGAAGCTCTGCTGGCGGGCCTTCAAAGCTTTCGACCGGGATGGCGACAATCGAATCACCTATCCGGATTTGCAGCACGTCACTGGGTCCATCTTGGGCATGCCTGTTCTTCAATATGTTGCAGAACATTCTGGGATTTAGGACGGTATTCCAGACGATATCTCGATTTGACATCAAGACATTAGTCCATCTTATGCAATGTGGGAGGATCTGCTACAAAATCTATCGCAGGACATTCGCTTCGGGTGGAGCAGCAGCGTGGTAGGTTTGGCAATTGCAATAGGATCCTTCATGCGGGAGTGGAGGAAGACGCCCCTTTCTAACGGCTTGCCACGCGCGGTAGCCAGTTTTCTTGTTCTTCGCCACTGTAACAAGAACATTGGATCTTGCGACCCCCAAATGGTAGTTTCCCAAAATTAGGGTACACCAATATAGACCCCAATGTAGTATAGTCCTTATTATCGGGACCCCCAAAAAGGTACCCCTAATTTTGGGAAACCCCCAAATCCCAAAACCCCAAAAGCTCCCCAAGCGTGGCAGATCTTGGGCGAGGCTCCTTCAGCGGCCGCATGACCCCAACGGAATCCCGCAAAAAGACCTTAGGGTTTAGGGTTTAGGGTTTAGACCAGATCTTTGAGAAGCCCCTTAAAGCTTCGATAATCTTGCTAGAATCTTCACTCGTATTACAAGATCCCTACACAAAACCCGTGAATAATACCTATCACACCCCCCTACCCACCTCCTGCTCCACAGAGGGCCCTAAACCTTAAACCCTAATCCCTAAACCCTAGCTTGGGGGAGACTCTAAGCTGAGGTCCTGGAGGATGCAGATCTCCTCCACGAGGCGGTATCGGCAAGATGCAACATCCTTAAGTTACTGGGGTTAGTAAGGGTTTAGGGTTCAGGATAATAAGGGAATAACATCCTAAGTGGTGGTTAGTGGGGGTTTTGGGTTCAGGATAAGAAATATTTCACATGGGGTTGTATGGGGATTATGCCGTATGAACAAGCGGTAAGTTAACTTTATGGGGATTATGTAGCGATATGTAGGCATGGAGCAGGCGATACATGCGGATTACAGTAGGACAATGATGAGGGTTAATCCACATGATTGTATGTGAGCTTGGAGGCATGATACCCTAATTTTGAGAAGTTGACTGGGTCTTTCAAAGACGGGCCTCATGGCTAAGTACTGGGGGACTGCAGAATGATTCTCGAGGTCTTTACTAGGGATTTTGTAGGGGATTTGCAGCAACTCCCGCATGCTGTAATCTTCATAGTCTCTTGTAGAACTAACTACCAATCATGCATTGCGCTTATTGGAGGTTCATGGGAAGTTGTTTATGATTTTATTTGCTACTCTACTGAGAACCCCATCTATAACCAACCAAAAACTTTCAAGTGGCGTTGGGTAAGGTGCCTACCCAGAAACATCTTATGAATGTAGATTCCACTGGTTTCCTAAGACGTGAACCCCTACGCCCTACATTGCTCGAAGCTACAAAGCCGTTCATAGCGGACCGTTCTTGCGCAGCCCTAAGCAAAAGCCCTCAACCCTAAACCGGAATCTCACGCTAGAATTCTGTACTACTTAATGCCCTACTCCAAAACTATTTCCACCCACCCTAAATATTCCAGACATTCACAGGCTAGAATACTTAAGTATAACTTTATATATATATATATGAATACACAATATTTCTGGTTCAATGTCAGGGATCCTTTTTTCTTTCCTTTTTTCTTTTTTGGGTAGGGGGATTCCTTGTTTCATGTAACAAAGATCTGATTGTTTTTGCTAGGGTAAGATTAAAAAAATCCCATTGATTATGATGGGAACCCAGACCATAATCATCCCTATAATCCCTATATAATTCCCCAGAGTCTTCTAGGGGATCTAAACCGTAAACCCTAAACCCTTGAGTGATTTGTTCCTACAAGGTGCCGAACTGTCGGAGCGCCTGGCAGCTTCTGGGACGAAAGTTCATGACACACTTGGAGGTTCACAAGACTTCTAACACAATTGTGAAGATCATATAGGCTGCATATGGCTTTATCGGGTTATGTGCTGTTTCTTGAGGTTCAGAGTACGTTTCTATAACCAATTCTCATGTCAGTTATAGCCCAATTAGCACGCTTTTGGGGAGCTCGGTGGGCCTATACATTCATTCTAAGTACAGCTATCAATCACGTTTACTTACCCTGAACCTCCAAGTAGAGGGGCGATGCACTGCCCCTCTGGAGGTGATGAGGAACTAGAAGGGGTCAGGAAAACCCATTGGGGGTGTTTAGATATGTCTTAGGCGATCTGCTGTCATGACACGAACCCCCCTGGAATCACAGCATCAGGAGATAGCCATCAGGGGAGTGATTTTTGGAATACCTAAACCCTTAATCCTACACCCTAACCAACTTGAGTATGAGCTCATCTCTACATTGGCCTGCTCCCCCTTTCGTAAAGTGCAGAAAATCCTTGAACATACGTCCGGCCCATAGCTCTACGAGATTTCACTGCTCCGTGCAGAAATTCCTCGGCGTAAGAAGACGATCTCTTGACAGGATCACAAATCTGGCAAGTTGTTTGGTGATGACCTTTGAGCCCCAGCCATAGCTCCAAGCGCAGAAAAAAACAGCTCAGTACCCCATATCCCCCACACTGGGATTGCTGTGTTGGCGCACCAATGTCCCAGTAGCATGCGGATGAGCAGGTAGATGGAGCCAAGGTAGAGTCTGGATCTCACAGTATCAGATAGCTGTGAATCTGTCAGGTATTTTGAGAAGATGGACGTGGATGGTGATGGCCAAGTAACCTTTGAGGACTTCATGCGCATGCTTCGTGCGCAAAACTCCCCGACCTCTCCATCCATCTTCAACCAGATCACGTTTGGCGCGTTGACAGACGCAACGATGATTAGGAAGGATTACAGCTCAGATAGCACAGCATGCACGGATGAGCATCTAGGAGAATCCAATTCGCCAGTGTAGCACCAACCGCAAGCCTCGTCAACGACTGCTCGGGAAGAGCAACGTCGCCAGATTGCAGGGCATGTCACGGCCTACGGCATAGTGTGCATGGGGAAGGCTGTGAGAGTCCTTTTGGAGCTGATCATCAGCTCACCCGATGCCAACAACAAAAGCTTGGCATAATTGCAACTGCAACGGTTTTACTGTAGAGTTATAATGAGATGCGGCTCCTTTCGGTGCTTCTTTTCGGGCTGAGGGCACCTGAGCAACAAAGTGTTCAGCTACGGTATCTATGTTAAAGCTGTGCTGAAGCCGGTCAGGAAGCATCAGCAAGCAGATTCAGCAACAGCTGTGTCAGATCCGCCTATGTAGAAGAAACTTTTTAGCTTTTGCAGTGCATGGAATTCGTTTGCACAGTTGAGGGTTTCCGGTCTGCCTCAAAGCCCTTACCTTTTGTGTAGAAGGAGTCTCAGACACTACAAGTGCTCACTGGAATCTCGACAAACCATTTCCATACGCATAGCGCCTAGCACCTCGCATGCAGCAGGCACCTGAACATTCGGTTTTTCAAAGCATTTGTTTATTGGACTTCTGAAGTGATCAGTACAAGCAGTTCTGGTGTGCTGCGCCTGCTGAGGATTTCCTGGCAACTCTAATTTGCCGTCTAATCCGCTAAATCCGCTGCAAGGCAGGCAGGCGATGCCAGCAAAGCTGGCATCGGACGAACTGCACAGCAGTGAGGAGACACAGGGGGTGGTCAGTGAGCCCTCGGGAACTCAGGTTGTACTGCTTGTGGTTGCTAGTCTTTAGCGGCAAGGGGCCCACTACAGGATCTTGGCAGGTAAGTACTGCAAAGGCGAACTGGCTGCCGGCGAGTGGGGAAGGAAGGAACAAGCAATTGTAATACCATGCATATTACAGAAAAAGTAAGTATGCATACTAGAATGCTCCCATTCCTCCATTCTCTGCTGACCAACAGCCCGCCTAACACCTGAGTTGAGGGTGGTGGGTTCAAACCCCTTCGCACTCCAACAGACACCGAGCGTCTGGCCTCAGCTGCGAAGCGGAAACAAACCCCCCTCTCTCTTGACATTTCTTATCCAAGAGTGTATCTTGACTTACTGGTTCGTCGTAGGTAATAGGGGAATATGGTATATAGGGTTATATGGTAGTTTCCCGAAATAGGGGGACCCCAATATAGATTCCCAAATAGTGTATTTCTTATTATTGGTACCCCCAGAAAAGGTGCCCCTAATTTTGGGGAACCTCCATATCGGGATCATATTCCCTTATTCCCTACTTGGAGCCAGGAAGTTGAAACAGGGTAGTTTAGGGATTTGGGTCTAGGTTTTAGGGTAGTGTAGGATTTTGATGGGTTTTGGGCTCATGGACCCAGCGACCTTGGAGCTTTGGGTTCCTCACTTGATTGTCAGGACTCCTAGCGGTGTGCTAGCAGAGCCATAATCGGAATAGTAAGATAAGAATACATTAATGATATCCTAATATAGTGTTATGGTATATAGTAATATAGTAATACAATAATATGGTAATATAGTATTATAGTAATGACCATAGTAACATGACTGGACTGTAGTTGCTTGCCTGCCAACCATACAAATTGACAGCGCCTGTAGCATGGCAACGGCTCTTAAGCCGAAAGCAAAGTCCTTCCGTGAAGCGCGCTTATGCACCCAACATAACACGCTAGCGGCTAGCGGACCACCTGAAACAGAGCAGCATCAGTCTGACTGCTACTGTAGCTAGTCGACACGTCTGATATTTGTAATACTTGATAGAACCGTGGTTCTCATGACAAAAGGCACTGACATCACTTTCCAAAACATTGTGACCACGCCTCTTCTTGTGTACCCAACCATCGGCGCCTGTGTCACCAACGTGCGTGCAGCGGCACTAGCGCCAGAGCCGGATGAGAAGCGCAGGTGGCAGCTGTCCGTGCATCAGGAATAGTACTAGAAATCGAGAAGAGTAGTAACATGGTAGTGGCAAGACGGTAGCGGACGCTTCGGCATTCCTTGAACTGATGGTAGAACTGACAAGGCATCACGATAATTAGCAATCGTCAGACTATAGTAGGAGATATATTGGGTTAATGGAAAAGAAAATGGAAACATCTACGCCCTAAACCCTAGACCTTAAATTCTAGTCTCGATTTTCTTTTCCATTGTCCTAATACATACCCTATACATCCCCTCCCTATATAACCAGGGTATCAATCCTGGAGTTTTCTGATGGCATGTCATCCGGGACTGGTGACTGACCTCACATGCAATTTGAGATTGCTCGGTGCTTGCAGCGCGGAGATCTCTTTAACAACAGGTTCAGGGTTTAGGGTTTAGGGTTTAGGGCTCTGATGCTATACTATTGCCATTGCTACAGTACTTTAATACTATATTGTTCTATTACTACATTGCTATAGTACCATATTTCTATTATACTATAATCCGATGTCATCATTCTCTTGGGCTTGTTCAGGTGCTGCTTGATATCAGGGTGCTCATCCGTGATCTCAGCGCCCCCAGATGCCCCTAATTCTGAGAGGCCACCAGCCCTATAGCTCAATTTCTACCTGATGCGGGATGGACGCTAGAGCCTGGACCTTATACTTGTGGGTTTATACACGCATGCAAGTGCTTTTCAATAGCTTCTCAACTTTAACCCAATTCAGAACTACACTGGAATCCTGCACTCCACACTCTACACCTCACTTGGGAGGTTCCAAGAAGGGGGGTGACCTGAAGCCACAATATTGCTCATCACATGCACCCTGGAAACGAGACCGCCAACCCTAAACCCTGAACCACGTTTTTGTTTTCTTCTGTAGGCTATGCTTTCCTTGGGCGCGCTCCGGCTGCCTTTGGTGAGCGCTGCTATGGAGTGCGCGACCCGAAGGCTTTGCATGGGGACGTGTCAGCCATGCTCCAGCAAGGTGGTAAGTGGATGGCTTTCCAAATGGTGGGTCATGAACATGGGCTAGCTTTCAGAAACGCTCGGTTTTTACTAATGTGAAGCAGCTGCCGTCGAGTTGATCGGTCGGAGGGTGCTGAGAGGCAGCTGCCAATCTAGAAGGATAGCATTCTGTCTCCCCATTATAGTAGTTTCCATGTTCTTTTCCAGTATCCCAACACATCCCCTACATATCCCTGAGCCCTGATCTGAGCGATCTCAACAAGGAGCAAAACGCAAAGTTACTTGAACTAGCCTTCAAGTTGCCTGCCCAAATATCAGGGTTTAGGGATATACAGGGGTTATGGAGGGAGAATGGAAAAATGGAAACTAGGCTTATATAGGGATTATGTACAACTATGTAGGGATAATGGAAAGAAAATGGAAACTACTAAGGGTCACATAGGGTTGCATAGGGATGATATATAGGGATAATGAAATAGAAAATATAAACTAGGGTTATATAATATAGGGATTATGTAGGGGTTATATGGGGATAATGGGAAGGAACATGGAAACTATTATAATGGGGTTATATAGGGATAGAAACTACTGTAGCGGGGTTCTATAGGGATAATGGAAAAGAAGATGTCAACCATTACAAGGGGGTTCTATAGGGTGTCGGGTTATAGTCCTTCCTAAGTAGATAGAATATGACTTTGGATATTTTATAATGAGATCCTCATATACCCCATATTGTATCTACTTAAGGGGACTATATTCCGATATCTGAACATATCATGGTATGGTCCATGCCATTTACATTGGAGGGGCTTACGCATTGGAAAAAAAATTCTGGTGAATGCGCTAGCCTACGCCCCTGCGGCACACCATAAAGTACCCTTAAATCCTAAACCCTAAACCAATTCTGAGGTCCACAAACCCTATCCAGAAGGATCCTAGTACCCAAGGATCTTCCTTTTGGAATGTCCAGCCTACATCTACTAGCTTAAACTCCAGCACTCAGTCATTGGATAGTTTGGTGGATGGAGGAAAAATTTTTCTCTAAGCCCTAAACACGACAATTCCTAGGAGATAGTAAGGTGGCGCAATATGGAAGTTTCCATTCATTTCATTGGGGGACAGGGGATTCCAATATAGACCCCAAGATATGATGATCCTTATCATAAGGACCTCCCCAAAAGGTCCCCCTAATTTTGGGAAACCCTAAACCCTATAAAATCCCTACGGAATCCTGATACATCCTTATATAACCCGATATATCCACATATCCCTCTTCAAATGTCCCCCCCCCCACCCAAAAAAAAAAGAGATGATGAAGCAACCTTTATCCGCCATCCTGAAGGTTGCATGCATTCTAGAGTTTCGGGTTGAGAGCTTCGGGCGGGTTTAGGGCTAAAAGTTTCGGGTTCAGGGTTCAAGGTTTAGGGCGTAGAGTTGCGGGGTTTAGGGTTCAGGGGTTGAGGGTGTAGGGTTCAGGGTTTAGGGTTTAGACCTAGAAAGAGACGAAAACAGCATACACTACCTCATTTCCATGTTCACTTGCTTTCAAGCCGCCGCTGCAAGCCCTAAACCCAAAAGCTAAGCCTCGGGGTGCTAGCATCCGGCATTAATAGTAACAATAATATAGCTTTAGTAGCAGGAATGGTAATAGGTTAATAGTAATTGTACTGGTAATGGCAATAGCAATGGGAATGAAAGTGACTACCAGCCAGTCCAGGCGCCGCCGAAGCATTTGACTTGGCGGGGCAGCCAGGGTGGCTTGGTGAAGCCTGTAGTCTCCTTATTGGAATAATCTTTCATCGTAGTATAACTCTAAGGAAGTATCAAGAACACTCATTTGTGTTATAGTATAGCCCTAAGGAGGTATGAGTCTTCTTAGGATTGTTTCATTCTAGTATAACTCCAAGGAAGTATTATGAAATCTCATTTGTTGTTTTAGTATTACACTTAGCAGGCAATAAACATTGTATTTCATTGCAAGACTAAGGGGGCTACAGAAGCCAGACTGAAAACAACTTTTGAATAAACAGCCTAGACCAGCATCTGAAAGGCAACACTTGGGTCTCTGTAGGGGAAAGGGGAATATAGGGGTA